CAATACAGATTTTGTTAAAATGCACTCAACTATACTTGGATCATGTTATATAACATGCTGGAGTAGAATTGGGCAAAAAAAAATGTGAGCCACTTAATTTTAGACCTCAACAAGGGACTGACTTTTTAAAGAAAAGTCAGTTTGCCCCGTGTAATGATTCCAAGAGTTTGGACTTACAGATTTTATAGTAAAGTACAAAATATGTAATTGTGTGCAGTGTATGTTAATTCAAGGAAAATGTTTCAGTGTCCATGTGAATCTTCTGGATTGGGTTTAGTGGCAATAAATGCAAAACAAGAGCGGTAACATCAGATTCTATCAGTTGAGACCATCTAGTTTGCATTTCTCTGTGTTTGGAATCATATTAGTTTAGACCTGCAAATGATATCTGACTTATGGTATATGTAAAAAAAGAATTGTTTCAAGAATGGATTCTCTTTTTTTGGACTGATGAATAGAGATTCAAATCTCAGTTAACTAAGAAGGACAATTTTAGCAGAATTTGGGAGGAGACATTTGAGCAAGAGGAAGTCAATGTTGTGCAATGAATATGAAATATGGCATGCAAAGGAAATGATAGGGGCTCAGTGGCAGTAACTAATATGAAAAACAGAAGGGAAAGGTTTGCTTGTAATGGTCAGTAGGTTCTTAGTGTACCAATGTTGATCAAAGTAAATTTGTTATGGGCAAGAAGAAAACATACTAAGGAAGAGGAAGATCCTAAGAAAAATGTCACACATCTATACTAGTTTCAAGATCAAGATCTAAAGAAAATAAATCTGAGCTTGCCCCTGTTTGAGCTCATATGACACTGAGCCAGTTTTGTTCATTTTGACACATTGTAATACTTCTCTATACTGTTTAGGGTTTAGTGTGTGAATCTAGTATTCTTAGCTGGACAAAGGGCCTCTTGTGAGTAGCTAGTTTTCTTAAACTGCCCTCCTGAAAAACAATCTCTGCTTGAGCCCAGGAGTTTGAGGTTGCGGTGAGCTGTGATGGTGCCACTGCACTCCAGCTTGGATAACAGAGCAAGACGCTGTCTCAAGAAAGAGAAAGAAAGGAAAAAAGAAAACAAAGAAAAGAGTAAAACGATCTCCAGGGAGGAAGAGGAAGAGCTTTATAATTTCCTCATAAGTTTTTGTGTGAAAAGATGATTAGAAACTGAGACCTTCTCCAACTCCTGCTTTCACCTAAGCTGGACCAGGTCTACAGTCATCTGCTGGCTTCATAACACATTGTCAGTTTAAGCAACCCAAAAGTAATCACAGACTGCTTGGTGGGAGTGAGGGGTTCTTATAATATTGCCTAATGTTTTAATGTTTTGGTTGCATTTTATATAATTGTTCTCCAGGCTGTATTCTATTTTCTACCTGGCTGCAAACAAACTGAATACAGGGAGATGTGTTCTAGGTAGAGTTCCCCACTACATCTGGCACAATATGCTTGCACCTAGCTGTTAATACGTATATGGTAGGTATGTCTGAATCCCTCTGAAGGGTTAGGTCAGAGTTGTGCACAAGGTAAATACCTAGTGAATAATTATTGAATGGATGCCAGTTTATCACCCTTTTCAAGGAGGAAGAGGGATGAGAAAGGCCACTTTGGAGTCTTTATAGGACAATGCACGTGATTTTGGTTGCTTCCATCTTGGGGCTGTTTGGCTGATAAATGGCTCTGAAGAGCCATGTTGGGAATTTAAGCCATGTTGAGCTTTCAATCTTTCGAGCTTTCAATCTTTCAATCCTCTTCTCTTCTTTAGGTGTATGTGGACATAAAAACAAGCTTCACATATTGCGTGCCGTCGAGGACTGCCCTACCTGCCAAGGGTCTCACTGGATCCTTGTGCTTGTTTCCTACTGCCAGCTGGTGGACAATATGGTACTAAGAACTCAAGAAGTTGGTCCTCACGTTGAACCTCAGAGGCCACCAAACCTTTCTGGAAAGTCCCTAGGGAGTTTCTGCAGGTGCTCAATGGTGACATATGTCAAGTTGAGAAGGGACAGCTGATCTTCCAGGGTAGAGATGAATCCACTCCCCACTCTCATGAAGAAGATGTGGGTTTGTTTGACCTTCACTATATAGGAAAAAGCCTCACAAATCCTTCAACCCCTCGGACGGAGGCTCAGCCTCCATGCTGTAAAATGCGGACATAATAACTTTTACGTAACTTGAAAGGTTTCATAAGAATTCTTCCCCTAATATAGATGAAGTGCCATCCAAATTAGATTAACACAAGAAGATTATATAAACACAATGTATTATTTTTATTATTATCAACTTATCACAATGGTCACCATCCAACTTCTCAGTAGGAATTAGGTTAAAGCTCACAGCTCACAGCACCATGGAGGTCAAATCATGCTGGGATGGACGTTCTGTATTTGCAGCCCAAATGTGTGTGAGGCAGTGTTTTTACTCACCTTCCGGGGGCGGGGCTGGGGCTGGCACTTCATTTTCTAGAAATGGAAAAGTCATGGAAATGTTAGGCTCATTTATCACAGAGGAGAACTGCTTTCCACAGCCCCAGGCTGCTTCTGCTGCAGGCAGCCATCTCACCTGTGTGTACTCACAAGAAGGATGGAGCAGGAAAACACATTCTCTCCTCTCTCTCTCTCTCTCTCACACACACACCCCCACACCCACACACACACCCTACTGCATCAAGAGGCCCAAGACATTCATGCTGCCATTTATGTGTGGTATATAGATTTCCAGAAGGTGGCATGGTGTAGTGATGGAAAGATAAAAGTAGAATGGGGATCCAAGTGTCCTTGCCACTTAGTTATCCTCTCTGAGGCAGGCCGGGCATTTACTTGTGCTGAGCCTGTTTTCCTGCCTCTAGAGAAATGGCCACAACACCCATCTTACACGGGCAGGACTGCTGTTAGGATGAAGTGAAACACAGTGGGTAGCAAGCATATGGTGAGCATATCCCGTAGAGTCTAAGGTAAGGTTGGTGCAGAAATGAGACCCCTTTTTCCCAGAAAGCAAGAGCACTGCATCTCCAACATTGTTCTGCCTGCATGGGAGACACTTTCTGAACGCAGATGACATCAAAGTCCTCTGGCTTTGCAGCGCTTTTTGTTGTTGTTGTTGTTGTTGTTGTTGTTTTACAAGGAAGGTGCAATTCATTGGGAAACAGAATTAAGCCCTCTCAGAGTCGCTTCTGGAAACATACGTGCTTGGAATAGATTCCCACCTACACTGATTCAAAATTTTCCAAGCTCTGATTTTGAGGTTTTGGTTTACCTGGCTTTGGATGTCTGGTTATTACAGAGCAGTCTGGCCATGAAGTCTGACAAAGAAACTTCTGTTAAAGAATATACTATTTCCAAGTAGCTGAAGGCATCCCCATGAACAAAGAGCACAGCATTTCCCCTGCCAAATCCCTGTGGATGCCCAGAATTGGGAATTAGTGACATGTGAGTATCACTCACTCATGAACCAGCTGCTTCATCTCCAGGACAAGAAGAGGCAGTTAATGAAGGTGATCGCTTCTAAAATTATCTTCTACTTGACTACTAAATAAAATATAAAGATAGCAAAGTTTTTGTATTATAGACACATTGTGGAATCCTGGGAGCCTTTGTCAGCATATGGGATTTTCCACTTTTTTTTCCACAAGTGACTCTTGTTGAACAGGGAGAAAGAGGCCCTGTAACAAGCAGTTTGGCAGAACAGTCACCACTATGTGTAGGCCAAGTGCCCCATTCTAGTCTAGGAAGGCTGGAATGAGCATGGAAAAAGGAATGGATTGCACCGTAACAGAAATCAAGAAAAGAGTAATGCAGGCCTGCCAGGATGCAATAATGTCTTTTTCCATCACTCATTTTGTGGCTAGTATAAACTTCAATTTATTGCTTTTTAAAAACTTTTATTCAGGTGGCCATAAATAAGTTTATTACTATTTACTAGTGAGGGAGAAGAATATATATAACCAATAGACAAAAAACATAACCTTATACATGGGCAGAAGAAAATGTAGCAGGATGTGATGTAATTCGCAGATACAGTGAAAACACAAATGTCCCTTGGATGGCATTGTCAGAAATGTTTTTGTTTCTTCACTACATCATGGAAAGAATCACTCAGGTTATCATCAATCAAAACATGAAACTGTCAGTCAAAGCATTTTATTTTCAGAGATCTGAGTGCAGAAATGGAAATCTAATATTGTCCTCTTGGCTTTGAATAAGTTATTGCAGCACATGGATATCAGAATACTGAGAGCGAGACGCCAATTTCTTTGACACACTATCTTTCAGACAGGGCCATTGCCATGACATGCCCAAGGACTTCTTCCTGGTTCTGTCTACAGACAAGTTTCTCATCCCTCCAGTCTCCTTTCCCCACAGCTGCAGCAGTTATTTATCCTACAACTGTGTTTCATCCCATTATTCTGCTTGAAAGGGTTTCTATTACTATTTGATTAGGTCTACCCTCCCCAGGTTTGCATTCAAAGCCTTTGTTCATGGGCACTTCTTTCTCTCCCTTCTCTTACTACGTTCCAGTGGCCCCTCTGTTCTAGAGCCATTTCTGTTCACCTTCTGACCTTTCTGCCACTGTTCTCCCCAGCAGACCTCCTGCTTTTTCTGAACATATGATGGAGTCAGACTTAGGTCTGAATCCTGACTCTCTGCCTTATTCATTGTGCAATCATGTGCAATTCCTTAATCTCTAACAGCCTTGGGTCCTTCATCTGTGAAATAAGATTAACAAAATAAATAACCTCTTAGGGTGCCAATTCTATGTAAAATGCGTAGGGTAGTTCCTGCCATGTAGAAAGAGCTCTATAATTCACAGAATGAACTGTTTCCATTACTATCGTTTGGCAATCTTTATCCACATCGCCAACATTTTTCTCAAGGCGCTCGGAACTGATTATTCTTTTTTTTTTTTTTTTTTTTTTTTTGAGACGAAGGCTCGCTCTATCGCCAGGCTGGAGTGCAGTGGCGTGACCTTGGCTCACTGCAGTCTCCACCTCCTGGGTTCAAGCAGTTCTCCTGCCTCAACCTCCCAAGTGGCTGGGACTATAGGCACGTGCCACTATGCCCAGTTAATTTTTGTATTTTTAGTAGAGACAGGGTTTCACCATGTTGGCCAGGATGGTCTCGATCTCTTGACCTCATGAACCACCCGCCTCTGCCTCCCAAAGTGCTGGGATTATAGGTGTGAGCCACTGCGCCCGGTCAGAGCTGATTATTCTATTCCGTTCTTCTTTCTTACTCTTTTGCATTCTGGACCATGTCATAACACATTCTCTTTTTACTATGACTTAATTATTGTCTAATAGTCTCTGTATATATATGTTTCTGTTTCTCCCCCATCTAAACAAAGTCAGGGGTCTTTCCTTCTTTTCTTATCTCCCTGGTGTCTCATTTTATTGCTGAAAACACGTTAAATGCATAGAGAATTGATACAAAAGAATTAAGAAGGGCTTCTTTTGGTGGTTGGATATCAACTATTAAGTAGATAATACCTGTTTAGCATCTATGTGCCCAATTCTCATTTTTTAAGGGTAACCATAGTTGCTTAAAAATCCAGCTAAGGCCAATGGTAAATTCTAATCAAATACGTAAAAGAGAATCATCTTGGGCACTAAAACTGTAGATGTTGCCTGAATGTACATTCTCCATTTCCATTTTTTCTATAGCCCCATGGGCTATGTAACAGACCAAAAATCAAAATGATAATGTAAAGGGCTTAATTCAACTTCCACTTAATCCACAAAACATTGGTCATGAATAGCCAACTCTACCAGAGAGAATGGCAGAAACATTATAGGATATTAATGTTAGGACCGTTGCGGGATGGTTGCAGGGAGTAGAAATAGAAAAATGTATACTGGCCTGGTAAATAGGCAGATCCAGAACTTTTTCTTCTCAAAATCACAGAAACCTCTTTACTTTATAGCCAGTGAAGGAGTAAATACATTGCAACCCCTTATTAGAACCCACCACATGTAGGACCTAGTGTATATTAATCCTTTTAATCCTTACAACTCTGTGAAATCAGTACTATGATTATCTCCATTTTGCAAGTGGGAACTGAGGCTCTTTGAGATCGCACAGTCTAGGAAGGGTGGAATCAGGCTGTACTCCAGGCTTGCTTGGCTAAGCCTGGCCTCTGCAGCCCCACCCTGCACTTCCTTTCCCTGCTACTTAAGTTGATCAAGTCAGAACAGGGTTGATGGATTTCTCAGAACAATGACACCTTTTTCCCCACTGAATTAGTTGGTCTTAATCTCAAGACCACATAGCCTCATATGGATGTTGTCCTCCCTATTTGTAGGAGTGGGGTGCACATCTATTTCCTCAAGTATGAGATAGAAATAATAGCACAGCCTAACTCAGGGGTCATTGGCGGAATGAATGCATTAGCAGGGGTAGAGAACATGGCAAATGTCACATAGGCTTTATCTTTTCATGGTTTTTATCGTTATGATCATCATTTTTACTCGGACACACCTATGAAAAAGACACTTATGTTTTCCTCCACATGCTGCCTGCTAAGGATATGTCTTATTTCTAGGTCTACGAGCTGTATGTGTTAAAACATGTTTGCATGTGGGGTGGGGACTGGACAGAAGAGGTGAGTCCCTCATAACCCTACTACAAAGTGGGAATAGTAGTTGAGCTCGATGCAATTTATATGCATTATAGTTTGCAGACTGCAGATAAGTAGATCAAACAATGATTCAATCAATCAATCATGGCAAGACAGAAATGATCAGAGAAAATAGGACCTTAGTCTTTTTCGGAGCATTTGAAACAGAAAATTCCAGTTGTCTTAAACCTGGAAACTGGAAAACCAAGGAGTGGTAAAGGCCAAGCAGCACATGACTTAAATGGAAAATGAAGCATTGCAGGTAAGTCTCAGAGACCCCAAGGTGTGCCCATTTACCTTGAAGGAACTTCTCACGCATCTCTCTCACTCTAATTCATATGTTTGTCTCTGACAGGTCCTGTCATGGTCAGCTTTGCCCATTTCTCTAAAAGTAATTTACATGTTCCTAAATTTCACTGTCTGCCTCTGTAACATTCGTTCATTAACAGCAATTTCCACAGTACCTCACTGAATAGGAACCATAGGCAGGAGCACCCTTGCAAGCTAAATTCATTCAACTCCCATTATGAATTTAACAAGGTCAGTGGGTTATAAAAGTGGTTACAATGCGATAAGATACCTGTGTTTAGGAAATTCACAGGTAAATGAATTGCCTTTCAGTATCAATTGAGTCACTGAACCAAGTCACGCTGCTCTCTTAAAACATTCAAGACTCATTACTTCCAGAAATCCTCTAGAACTTCTCAAACTGCAGTATGCATATTAATCACTTAGGGATCTGATAGAACTGCAGATTCTGACTCTTGGGGTCTGCAGCAGTAGGGTTCACGATTCTGCATTTCAAGGTTGCGCAGTGGCTCAGGAGGTCACAGTAGGAGGATCGCTTGAG